TGGCCAATAATAACAATGATAACTTCTAGATTGCTCCATACATTATTTCTTTATGTTTTGTCATGTATAACTAGACCTCCAGGCTGTCCTGTTTCTTTAAGACACACATCAGCAACTGCATTTCTCTTGATTTCCTTGAGATATAAAGGAATTATTCTCATGTCAATATACAACAACAGATCATGGTGAAACTTCATCTGAAAACAATGATAAATGACAAGTAATGAATCAACAAATTAGTTGAAAATACATTCAATGATTAATAATGATCAGATTAATCCAATTTGGAACCATAAGGAGGCCCACAAGAAGACAAAGGAAGAAAATCATTGATTGATGCACATCATGTTTAAAATTTAAACATTCTATAGCTCATTCACTATTCACCAGCAGCAAAAATCCAGAGAGGAAGCCAATGGTAACAAGGAATTACTTGAGACACGAACAGTAACAGTGTGTAGAGTAATTTGCGTAATCAAGTAATACCTGTGTAATGAGTATTAAAGCAAGAAATAGTATACGGAACAATTTATCTTTAGGTTTGTCTTCTTTACTTTGTAAAAAGCAGTATCTTATGTGATCTATCAATCTGAACTATGATGGATCAATAAAATCATGAAAGTATAAAACACATCGAAGCTTCAAAAGAACTCCAGGACCACATCTAGAATGTAAAGCTTGTTCAACAAGGCCAAATAGAGAGCATTCGATACTTCACAAATAAAAAATCTGGCAGAATTATCTGAAGAGTAATCTTTGTTGCATGATAGCCATTCAAAACTGAAGTGGAACTCCATTGGACCAGAAGTAAAAGAAAAGCTCCACAAAGGTGTTGAAAAAATTAAGTGAAATACTTGAGGTACATTATATTTGAAACAAACAAACTTCCAACTAAAGAAGCCCTATCTTTCTGCAGGGGAGCCACCATGACAGGACAATTCAAAGAGTAGGAAGCAAGATGACAAGATAGGCGGCACTAGAAAGTCATGATCATTTAAGTGAAAACTTGAATTTCTGTCAACCTATGCACCACATAGAGTGCAATAATGACCCCAACTAGGGTCACATGTTTGAATCTATAGATTATCTAAAGCTCAAAATATATGACTAATTCTCCACCAAGGCCTTTATAATGAGCACTTTAGTGTTGCTTTCCAAATTATATTATTTTTCAATTCTCCCCACTTTTGTTTTACCATCAAAAAAGAAAAAAAAAATTTAATTTCCCCTATTAGACGCTTAAGATGGTCTTGTCAATAGTCTCAATGTTGAAGAGATGATGAGGGTAAGCGACCACTAAATAGGCAGCAAACCTAAATACCTACAAAGTAACATTCTGGACAGGAATCTGAAAAGTTAACAATATATTGAAGCATGTGGCCCTGACAAGGGATATATACCACTCATGTCACTGACTTAAAAACAAGAATGAAGCTTCAACTATTCTCATGATCTCTCCCGCCATTAGTGACACTTTTCCCGAGTTACCACCACCAACAATTAACCATATCCAAGTACATCAGAGAATGTATCTAAAAACTATATGACTAAATTATCATAATTCAAACATAGATTAAAGTGCTAGCAGGTCAAATTATAGACGTTGGTTACCAGATCAGCTTTAATGTAGGCTGTTCTGATTAGATTTGATTGGGATCTTTTCTAGCAGTTGGAAATGGCAAAATACAAAACTTCACATCAAGCAGCCAAAATTATATAGTGGGAATAGCACCTTTTCAGATATGGATGCATGTGTTGTGTCTGTATTACAAGTAACTAGGATATTGTTTTGATACAGCAAGCCTAGATACATAGCATAGGGTGTACGAGATACAAACCTGTGAACCGGAAATTTAGGGAAGAGTTTGGAGACTTCAGCAAATTCACCAAACTGATAGATACCATTGGTGCAAAGATACTACCAGAAGCAGCAGGAGACTCAAATAGCAACACTTGTGCCTTTGCAACATCTTGACATGCACAGCTCCCAACCAGTGTACTCTTGAGTATCTTTGAACCCTGCAACAACTGTTGTAACACAGCACAGCTCACATTCAAATAAGGTTGCAGAAGTGGACCTAGACATGTAGCTGGGTGGATAGCCACAACATCAATCCCATTCTTCTCAGCAAATTCCCATGCCGCTTTCTCTGCCAAGTCTTTGACACTGGATACCATTTCTGCCATAGCCAAACAACATTAAAACAAATGCAGCACAAAGCCAACCTCAGTTCATGCATAAAACATCCTCACAAAGTGGAGCTTATAATCCACAGGGTAGTTTTAATCACACAAAAAAGTAATACATGGTATAACGTTTCTTAACGAAGACCAAAAAAACAGAGACACAAACATACAATGCAGATGCACATTAAGAAAATGACAGGTCCGAGTTATCATTTTAAGGAACCACTAAACCAAAAGCGTAGAAGCTTAGAAAAGTGATACATTGCTATTGAATTCCCATTTGAACTTCTACAAGACAAAAACAAATCATAATCAACTATCTCATTTCAAAAGATATAAAAATCAGAACTTTAAAATACTCCATTAAAAAAAAAAAAAAAAAAAAGAAATTTACTTCTTTCAATATCTCACAGAGCAAGAATTAAATTAAATACAAGATCAATCAAAAGAGATCAGCAATGTCGTCCTAAAAAAGATAAAAATCAAAACTTTATCCACTATCATTTAAAAAAACACAACTTTAAGCCCAAATCAATTAAAGAAACGGTTACCCAGTCTGTAAGAATACCTGGAGACTTGCAATAATCAAGGTCAGTCCACGAAGTCTCATTAAACACTTTATCTCGAGGCCAACCGGGGTTAGGCACAAGAGCAGAAATAGAGCTCGTGAGCACCACACACGCCTCACCTTGAACTTTTAGCAGGCTCCAACACATTAAGAGTACCTTGTACAGCAGGCAAACAAGTTCCTTTTGTGGATCCTGGGATCTTCCAAGGTACAAGGAGATGCCACGTGGAAAGACCCCCGTGCAGCCCTCCACTGCCCTTGAAACTGCCACGTCATCTAGAATGTCAGCCTCGAAGACTTTGAGGTTGGCTTTGGAGGCAGCTTGGAGAGTAAAGAGATGAGATGGGTCAGAGCCAGGGTAGATGGTGGCTTGAATAGTAGTGTAGCCGGTGGTCAAAAGGGTCTGGACCAGCCATGAGCCAATGAACCCGTTGGCTCCAGTCACACACACTGCTCCTTGCTTGGCTCAGTCATTACTGGCTTAGTTTGACTCTGGCTATATTTTGGCAATGATTATTAGACTAATAGTGATATTAATATATTATTTTAATGGATAAAGATATTTGGATTAGGATTAGGATTAGGATTGTCTCAGGGAGAATTAGATTTGATATTAACCGATGAACTGTCTTTGTCTCCATAGATTATATGAGTTTCATTATCTGAATTTATCCAAATCAAATATCAAACCAGATACACTTGCAAAAGGACCACATTGATGCTATCTTTATCTTAATCCAATTTTTTGCTCAAAATAATACCTATGGTTTAGTTTTAATTCTAAAACATGATGCTTTAAAGCGTGAAAAGAGTTTAATAAGACAATATCGGGTTATATCCAATAATATTATATTAATAACATGAATTACTAATAAAATTCTTTCAAAAATGTATATTCTCCCTTATATACATATTTTACCTGTAAATAATTAATTTGGTTAAATTAAAGTAGTACAGTTATTTATTTGATATTGAGATGAATAATGAGTTATAATATGATAACAATATCATTTTAGAAAAAAAAAAAAAAAAAAAGTTAAGTATTTGATAACTTTTTCTTTTTCTTTTTTCTTTTTTCTTTTTCTTCTTTTTTATGATCAGGTGTCTGAGCCAACTTCACAAATATAATTGGTCAAGATGGACGCAGGATAGGTTGAGGCTGGGGACCCCATTCCTCAACCCCGTCCCGGACCCTTGGCGAATCACCTGTCCCAGTCCCACCTACTTATTTCCGGTATGATTTTGATGCTTTTTTTTTCTCCAAATGGTTACAGAACTTAGTAGATCAAACGTCCATCCCTAATGATTGGTAGCCATTAAGTGAAATTCGAACACAAGACCAGGTTTTGCCATCCCCACAAGCCAAGTGAAGTATTTGATCATTTTTAACCTTTTTTCTACCTAAACGTTTTGATCACTCAAAAGTTATTGAAGAAGGTAATCAAATATTTGAAAAAAAAATAAAGAAAGAAAAAAAGCTTTTAATCCAAAAAGAAAAAAAAAAACATTATAAATCCAAAAATGAGTTTTCGATAAACAAACATGTTACACGACTTCGTTGTTACGTGTAACATGATCTTATGTTTGTCTGATTTCCACAGAATCAACACCTTCTAAATACCCTTTCACGTTTCAATTTCTGATTTTTTTGGCTCTCTGATTCAAGTCTGACTCACTGAGTGAGTGAGTTGAAGTTCACAAACAACGAAGAACATGGGGCTTCTTCAATCAACTTCACTTTCTTCTATTTCACTCTTCCAGCAACCTCATCCATCTCTCACCAAATCTGGTATCCATTTAAACGAGGATTCTGTACTTTGTGTGTGTCATAACATGTTTGATTTTTATTGAATTTGGTGTTGTTTCAGGCCATAAAAATCAAATTTTGGCTTCCAAGGAGGCAAAAATTGCGCCATCCAGATTAGTTGTTCGCAAAGCTTGATAATGTAAGTGGGATTACTTGATTTTGAGTAGTTTTATCGAAATTAGAAGCGTATATGCAAAGTGGGTTTGGCTTGTTTAATTCTTTTGATAATGGGGTTTTGCTACAATACCAGCCCAGTAACGTTACGCGTACAATGTTTTGGTTACCTAAACAATTTAAATCTAACCAAGTGTAATATTGTAAAAAAATAAGCAGATATACTTACTGAATTATGTTTTTATATTGAGTAACTTTGGTGTGTTGTTCTGTGACAGAGTTCTGTTGTGTGTAGTGTCTCAGTTGTTCTTTGGCTGGAGGGAAGGCAAGAGAATGGGTGTAAGTCTCATCTTTTTGTGAATTTTTATTCTTGTATTGCACGAGAAAAAGGGTGTTTTAGCATTCGAAATCTCGGAATATTCCATTGTCGTTTGATTTATTATTGCATATGTCAATTTAATGCTCAATTATTTCATTTGTTTACTTCTTTTAATATGTTAAATCTTGTTTGAATTCAAAGGTCATATCAATAATTGTTTCCTCAAGTTGTTTGGAAATTGCATGTTTATAAGTGTGTATTTTCATGCAAATTCTTTGTTTTTGGATTAGATATGTAAGATGGTTGGTTATAGCAACCAACAAAGGATAATTTATCTATTAAGTCAGAGTTATTAGGTCAATGCAATTTGACATAAATTTGGACAATTTGACTCTTATAAAGTAATCATGATGATGCAATGCAGATGGCTTAAGCTTTCACAGGACCTTACTTAATAAGTTGTTGTATTCCACTTTCTGGATTCATTTCTTTTTTCTTTGTCGCAAAAGTTACCCAACAAAATTTATGATAGGTTGGTATCAAGAGTGACAATTTTGTGTCAAGTGTTATCTCTTTGTTTAATTGATGTTATTTTCTGTATTCATGCATTAACGTTTTGGTATCTCTATATGTATATTCTTAATGTTGGTGTTTTGCACAACCAGTATGCATATGCATATTTAGCTCAAGTTTTTCATTTACTCATTATCTATAGTTCTCGTTTTCTTCTTCCAGATGATGGTTTTGTTAGTTTGTTCAAATAGGCGAACATGCCAAAGCAGTATCTACCACTCTTGGGCCAACCTATTGCATTGTATAGGTAAATAGCAATAAATTGAACCAACTATACAACATTATTGCATTTGCTGGACCATGTATCTTTGTATTTTCTACTTTTACTTGCAAGACATGGTAACCAAATATCTGGCAATCATAAAACAGGCAACAAATTATATTCGATTCATGGTTCAAGAGGTCACAATTGGAAGATCTATTTTGATTAGAAAACAGATAAATGTTGTATGGCCGTAGATAGAACATTCAATTGATGCATATTCTTATACCACTTGATTACAGTAAATTATCTGTTGGTTATAGTTAATATGAAGAATCAAATATTATTGTGAGAGGGGTCCTTACTGGGACCACAGACGTTGGGATCTGACATAGAAGTGGCATTACTTGTACGTCAGTGTTCCCAATTTTATTAGGTGAAGTCTAGGATATGTTGTTCATTTGATGCTGAAACTAATACATGCTTTATTTTTCTTTTTCTGTCTAGTTTCTATACTTTCTCACACATGCCCGAAGGAAGGAAATTGTTGTAGTTTGTGATCCATCCTACCAAGATATCTTTGAAGGTTTCATCCTGTCTGTCTGTCTATCTTTCTCTCTCTCTATCTACTTGTGGTGTGTGGTGGTGTGTTGGGTGTGTGTTATACTCCCACTTGAGCACACTGCACTATCTGTATATGCCTGCTGAGAAGTTTATATTCCTCTCGTAACATTGCTTTGAATTTGTAGCAGTACTGCAGGAGATCATAAACAATGTGGTCATTTTGTTCTTAGACTCCAAAGAAAATATCAGTGTAGACCTTAAATTCTCACTGCCTGGGAAGGAGAGGCGTATTCTGTATACAGTGGTTTCAGGTGCATGAATTATGCTCATGAAGAAGTTTGTTTTGGTCATAATATGTACTTGCTTTTCGGTTGCCTTGTGGACTCAATTTCTGATCATATTATCCTACCATTGTACCTTATCTATTATTTTTTTCTTTACTCGATGGCTTGCTGTGCTATTAGTGACTGATATATACAGATTATCTGATGATAAAATATGCTCACCAAATATGATACTTTTGTTTCCAGGCAATTGATTCGAATTCTGAGCTGTTTGCATCCATGATTCTGCAAGACTCTGGTAACATCTGGTGATGTTAAAGGTATGAATGAATTGGAAACTTTGTGCTACCAAGGGCTTTAGTTGTTTATTAATTTTACATTTATATGCTGAATTTATAGATCTTGATGATAATCACTGTCCATTTACAATTCTAGTAGCGAGGGATGTTAAAAAATGGAAAAAGAGAGGTTATGTTGGACTGGACAACGGTTGTTACTATTTCATCTTGTTTCTTCGGACTTTCTGTGTAAGAGGCTTATGTGTTCAACTGCTTATTAGGTCCGAGGATGGATGGCTGATTGGAGCGAGCTGCACTTGGTGTTCCTTCCAAAGCTACAATTAAAGAGGTAGATAAGTCTTGCATTCTTGTTGATGTCACAATATTTTTGGGGCCGCTGGGAAGTTTGGATGGTTGATGCCACACTCTGTTGTTCGCTCTTTTCGGCAAGGGATTTTGGTTGTTATATTCAGGATCTGTAGATATTCAAACACCACGGTTTTCTTTTTGTTCTGATTTACGTGAAATTGCAAATCTGCTAGACAAGAAATTCTTTCTTTTCCTTTAGCCCTGTGATGTACATCATAAAAGCAGTTGCATATTTATAGGATGTACTGTCAGCTAGATTGATCTTCTTTGATACATAATTTTGTAATACAGTATAACGTTTAAACTTTCGTATTCATTGTTATTATTGATAAAAAAATTTTTCTGGTCCATGAGCAGGCAAACGTGAATCATTGTTTAGTCAGAACCCTTGACCGGAAAACACTTTGGGAAATGCCAAACTCCTCAGGTTTGCAGTTGAAAGAATAATATATTATTCATATCTTGTTACACACTTCATCATTCACTGTATCCAATATGTCTTTTTGGTAACTTCTGTTAAGTCTTTTATGTGAGGTGAGATAACCTGAATTGCTTAAAAAGGCTTTGAACTTGTAATAGGTACTATGAATCTTGGTTTCCCGGTTCAGACTGCTAGTTTTTAACTCGTTTCATTAAATTATACCCAGAAATAATAGTTCTAAATGGAAGTTTGAATTTTATAATCACATCCTAAACTAAAATAAGTTCTTAGAATTTCTACTTAATTACAGCGAAGGTCTTGAAGTTACCGATGATGTGTCAATCGTAGAGCATCAAACATCCTGTATACATCACTGAAGGATCTTAACACAAGAATCCAAGCGTATAAAGAATATTATTTATACTCAAGGACAATAATCCATTAGTAAACTAATATTCTCATTTGTCCTATGTGGACACAGAAATATAATTTCTAGAAACTGAAGAAAAACCATAATAATCCACCAGTTCTAAGAAACAAGTCCATCGGCTAAATCAAACGATAAGATCCTACAGCAAATGCAGTAACACGTGCTTCATTTCCAACTGGTAGGTCCACCTCTCCCTCAGCGAGCAATGTACTTTGCCGTAGTTCCTACACATCAATCAAATGTGAGTACCACATCTTGTGTCAACTAGATGTTTACGGGAGAAGTTAATCTCAATAACGTACGTGACGAAGAAGTAACATTCTTCTTCCTTTTTGCTAGGGAAAAGTTAAAAGTTGCAAATTCGTTATTAAAAGTTGCAGAATTAGTAGGAGAGAAAACCTAATGAAGAAAGAAGTTAGTTAAAGTTGTTGTTTACTGAGAAAGGCTAAAAATTGAAAATGATCAAAGTTAGAGGAGCTGTTTGAGTTCGCTGTTATTGTTCGTTTCATCATCTCGTTGCAGATTCGTTTTGTAATGGTTAAAAGCTGTTGTCCTGTTCGCTTCATCAGTTCGTTGTTGTTGTTTGTTTCATCAACTGTTGTTCGCTTCATCAGTTGTTGTTCACTTCATCAGTTCGCTATTGTTGTTCGCTTCATCAGCTGTTGTTCGCTTAATTAGCTCGCTAACTTCATTAGCTCGTTGCGGATTCATTATTAAAAGTTGCAGAATTAGTAGGAGAGAAAAACTAATGAAGAAAGAAGTCAGTTAAAGTTGTTGTTTGATGGAGAAAGAAATCAGTACAAGTTGTGAAGAACAGAATTGCAGATGAGATGTGAAGAAAGTGCAGTGAGTGTTACGATGAAGAGGGAATATGAAGATAAGAGGAGAAGTAGAGAATGTTTGGTTTATGGGAGAATGATAGAATGAAGGACAAAAGTGGAAATTAACTAAATGAGAAAAGCTGATTGTAAAAATGATGTCGTTTACTCTTGTCATGCAATGTTTGCTTATAAGCACATCACGTGTATCTTGTATAGTTAGTTAGAAAAAGAATCATTTCAGTTTTTCAGTTTTGTGCTCTCTGTTTTTCTTTCTCTACTTTGTTAGTTTTCTTGAGCTTGTAGAAGAAGATTCTTCTTCATCCTTTCATGGTATCAGAGCCATAGACACACGTCTTTGGAAAAAGATTTGATCCTGTGTTTTTCGTTTTCTGTTCAATTCAAGTCTCTGTTTGCGAAAACCTCTCTGTGAAAAATAGATGGAAAATACCTCAGTTCAAATGGAGAATCCAATTACACCGCCAACACTTCCTTCAATCTCTGCCAAGTTGAGTGACAAAAATTATAATTACTGGAAGTCTCAAATTCTTCCAGCTCTCACTGGCCATGGACTTGAAGGCCATATCACGAGAGAGAAAGTTTGTCCTCCGATATTTATAATGGACAAGATAGATGGATCTGAGCAACCAAAGAAAAGAGGTAACCCTAACTACGAACTAATCAGTTCTTAGTGAGCTGGTTAAATTCTACTATTTTTGAGTCCATGTTTCGTCATGTTGGGAAATGTATTACTGCTTATGATATTTGGAATACGCTTGAACTGCACTTTCATTCAGCCTCTAAGGCTCGAACTTTACATTTGATAAGTCTTTTACAAAGTACTAAGAAAGATGCACTTGCTATGAATGAGTATGTATTGAAAATGAAAGAACTTGGTGATGAGTTAGTAGCCAGTGGAGTCTTAATCAGTGATGAAGAACTGTTATTGTACATACTAGACGGACTAGGACCTAAATATGATGCTGTTGCAGCTAACTTAGTTGCAACAAGTAGTCAAGTTACTCTACAGGAAGCTCAATTCCTTCTTCATAAGCAAGAAATCCGACTTGAAAGACAACATAATGTGTACTCTAATCTTTTTGATCACTTAGCTTCAGCATTACTTGCTACGAAGCAGAGTGAAACTGCTGTTAATATAAGTTCTCAGTTCAAGAATGGGAATATAACGGCATCTGTACCAATAAATGCATCATCACATCTATGGCATTTGCAACGGTGATGAATTGCTGGGGAGAGACTGATTTCAGCAGCCACTTGCTTCTAAAAGTGTGAAGTGACCCTGATCTTCTTTTGGAAATTTCAACTCCATTGTCAAGAGTAAGAATTTTCCATCCATCATTTCCATTTCCAAACCTGTTTGAGTCTGAAGCTGATAGCAACTCCTGTATGCAACTCTCGCTTGCAAAGTGCACATATCTTTTCAATGAACCAGTGCCAAGGTGGCGTTATATATATATTGAAGAGGAGAGGTTAAATAATGGTTAAAAGGAGGGGAAGTAAAATAGTGGGAAGTGTGGTGAAGTGATTGAAGCACATGGAATGCCAGAAGAAGGTCCATGATTAGAAGTACAAGACTCTCTTTCTTCTGTTTGGAGATAAAAGAGAGATTCTTTGCTTGGAAAAAAGAAGGAAGAAGGGAGGGTAGGGAAGATGATGCACATGGAGTGTTGGTGGCTTTTTAAAACAAGAAAGAAAATGGGAAAATAACTAAGAACCAATACAAAGACTATTAGAGAGGGGCTTCAACTCAGTGGATTAACTAATAAACTTGCCTGATTACAAAGACTATTCAAACAGCTTCGTAAGGTCACCTTGGCTTTCTTTATTTGCATCAGGGTGGCAATCCTTGGCCTCAACCTGTTTGCTTTTGAGGTGTCTCTCTCTCTCTCTCTCTCTCTCTCTCTCTCTGCAAGTAATAGTAAAGTATTATTTCCCCTAGAGCATTAATCTAGAATGGACGATCTCAACGTGTGAACTATAAATTCACTAGGACAACTTGAAGATGTGAACTGTAAATTCACTAGGACAACTTGAAGATGTGAACTATAAATAACTAAATATAATAAAACGACTTCAAGGTGTGAATTGTAAATACACTGGACAACATCAAAGTATAAATTGTAAATATATTACGATGACCTCAAGATGTGAATTGTAAATAAACTGGGATGACCTTAAAGTGTAAATTATAGATACATTGAGACTATCTAAAAGCGTGAACTTTAAATATACTGGGACGACCTCAAGGTGTGAAATGTAAATATATGCATGTATTAATAGCGTTTTTAACATAGGATCGATTCTTTATTGGCACATGCATGAGTCCTAAACTATGAGTCGCTATAATATGC